GAAAAAATATTAACGTGATGTAGCTGTGATGGTCCAGGAGATATGCGAGAGGCAAGAATTTTTGTGGGTGATATTTTTATTGGACTAATGAATGGCTGAGGTAGACAAGCTTTTGGGTATTACAGCACCCTTCCTTGTGTCTCTGGAACGGGGGGGAAATGCTGTATTGTAGAAAGATTGAAGCTTGTTCTTTAGTAATTTAACCATGACAGTTGTAAATAAAACAGCAGTATCTCTCGGGCCTGAGCAACTGAAATTCAGTCAACTCAAGGAGGCTTGTAAGGTGTCAGAGACTTGGATGTAACTGAATGGACAAATCTTTGCGGGATCACTGTTGCCTTGTTCATGAGTCCCAAAACAGGACTTTCAGGCCTTGATTTTGAAAAGGGATAAGCATGTGGATAAGAATGATGAACCTATCATGCTGGGAACCCAGGTGTGCTAGTAAAGAGGTGATGGAGCTATCAAATGCTGCAGCCAGCCAAGGTACATCTGCATCTCCATATGCTTACAGTTGGAAAACAGAACGCTAAGGAAGGTATTCGCTTTTTCTGAGTGCCAAGGATGTCCTATTTAACATGGTAGCTGAAATGACAGGCCGTTGATAGGCACTTGAAGTAGGAAAAGTCCTGCTCAGATTAACAGAACACACCATTAGTAATGGTGAAAAGGAAAACCATTCCAAAGGGAACTTGCAGGGGACCTTGGCCAGCTCCTTAAAAATGCCCAACTCATTTAGCAACCTATGTCTCCTTTCCAAAAGTGAATAATGTACCCCACAACCTGTTGACCATCAGTGAGTTTCAGACTCCCAAGTGACCAAGGGTATCATTTAAAAAAATGCTTTAGTTACTTAGCTGCCTAAGTCCTCTTGAAGGCCAGTGAAAATGTTACTTGGTTGCTTTTGAAAAGGTTGCAGTCTAAGAAAAGCTCTCAACTTAAAAGGGGTCCCAGGTGGTGCTCACCACCTTATGTAATTAGATGGTAAAGACAGATTAAACCAATTATAGCAATTGAAAGTGGGAAGACTTAATGCATTTCTAACTGATTTGTTGTTCACTGTTTTCTATGTCTTTTCTACCCTGCTGAGAGCAGAAACTAAACTGTGGTAATTTAGCAACTGTGTCATTCCAGTATAAATTGCCCTTATTTAGTTTCACTTACTGTGAGTTAGAAGCAGACATATGAAATGGTTACAGCAAATCAGCTGACCTACTTGTGAGGTCAGCTCTCCTCACCTTCCTTTTTAAAGTGGCATTATTGTTTCAACTGTCTACAGCTAGAATGGAGAACATCTTGACAATGTGATTCCACTTTCAGAATTGATGCTATTGACTTTGTGCACTTTGCAAATTTTTTTACTATGAAATTGGATTGTTGAGGTCCGCTTTCTAGCAAGCTTTAGGAAACAAAGAGAGGAAGAAAATTTAACACCTGGTTTTACCTTTTCTGCAACAAAAGGTCTTATGTGTTTCCTGTATTCTGGTGTCAGGGCATATGTTTGGCTTGTTGCTTGTGTGCATGTGTTCTCCTTGAAAGTTTTGTGGTTAGCATTGTGGGCCTTAAACAGGCTTGGTGAGAGAGGCCTGGATGTGACTTCTGGCCTTGTGAACAGATTCAGGAGTTAGTCTCCCAGTGGTTAATCCCTCCCTGCTTGTTAGTGAGGGGTTAAGCTGAGCAGTGTAGAAGCCAGTTCCTCGGTAAACAGGAGCAGCAAACTGGGGAAGTTGTGGAGAGGATTATGTGATGCCTTCCCCCATAGTATAGTTGTGTTCAACACTTGTGTGGAACAGTAGTTGTAGCCATCATGGATGTGCCATTTTCTTTCCTGCCTGAAGCCTCAAGGCGTTTTCTGTATCCGAGGTACAGGTTGGTAGTGATGCTAGAAGAACAAGTACTAACAATGCAGAGCATCAGAGGCTGAGGGACCTTTGGAAAACAGTATCTGAGGAACATCAACATCTCAGCTTCAAGAAAAAATAGACTTGATGACTAGGGAAGCAGAGATAGTGGATAGCGAATAGGTTTCATGGTGAGTAACCAGCAGAGAGGTAAAAGGACCAGCTGGAACTCCACGGAGCTGGAAGCAGAGAAGGATCTGCAGGCCAGTAAACAATGAGAGAGAAGAGGATCGGGGGGAGTTCAGCACATTCAGAAATATCCAATTCTTATCATATTCTCAGCGTGGAAATTGCAAGAGAAGTCTCTGAAGATGCAGCTGGTCAAATGGAACGGAGAGTTTTGTGGGATATACCAGAGCGTGGCTGCACAGCTCAGTCTAACAGATTATCAATTTATCAGCCATGTCAAGAAAGAGATCTCCAAGCATCCAAATAAGGTGGACCATTTTTGTGGTGTGTCCCATGTTCAAAAGAATGGTAGGAGTGTACTGCAGGGGTGCACAGACAACAGGATGGTGCACTGTCTTCCTGAATTCAAAATATGAGAGATGACTCTCAAACTGGATAGGTTACTGAAGTCAGTGGGCAAGGTCCTGCTGGTGACAGTGTATATCAGCACTAACAGTATAGCTTTATGGGATATCTGTCACATTGGAGATGGGTTCAGAGAATTAAGAAACAGTTTGAATTAGGGGAAGGTTAGAGTGGTTTTCTCAGAAATATTCCTTTTCCTATGAGCAGAAGACAGGAGATTCTGGAAATGAACAGCTAAGTAGGAAAGTGGTACCTGGTTCAGGGGTTTGGTTTTGTGGAATATTGGGCCATTTTCTATGAAGAGAGCGAGCTTTACAGTTTGGATTATTTTCACTTCAATAGAAAGGAACCCAGTCCAGTAGGAGACAGAACTGTTTAAATCAGCATGTCCAGAAACTCTGCATGGAAAGGTTTTAGAAGAGCTGGCCAAGAAGCCTTTTGTAACATTACAGATGATTGTTTTTTGTCATTAATGCTCATGAAGTTCCGAAGGACTGGAAGAAAACTAATGTGGCCATATTTATAAAGTATTTATAGAATGGCCTCTGCAATGATAAGCCCATTAGCCTGGCATCAATCCTGGAAAAATAATGGAGGACTCGATTAATAAAAGGACTCGATACAAAAATGAGAAGGAAATATAATTTATGCCGGTCAAGATTAATTTAAGGAGAATAGATCTTGTCAAGCTAGTTTGATATCATTTTGATGAGACAAATGTAGCTGTACAAGTGTAGCTGTAGTATTGACACTTAGGCTTCATAAAGCATTTGAGTTAGTACTGCACAACATTTCATCTAAGAAACTAGAACGTGCCACATACTGTATGGGTTAAATCTGGCTAACTGAGAGGTAGCAAAATATGCTTGCAAATTATTAAAAAGTGCAAATATAGTAAGAACTCCTCAAGTAGGCGTGCTTCTTGCGGTTCTTGGCACTATGTTATTTCATGTGTTTTGTCAGTTATCTGGAGGAAATCATCAAATCATTACTGATGATGTTTGCTAATGATGCAGGAATTGGAGAATAAAGACCAGGGCCGGTCACTGGTGCGGGTTGAGCTGGTTTGCTCAGTAAGTTAGACACTATCAAACAATAAGTCTTTCAGCTTCTTTGAATGTAAGGCCATACATCTAAGAACAAAGAATGTGGCTCATACTTACAGGGTTGGGGTGGGGGCTGTAGTACTATTGTAGGAAGCAGTGACTCTGAAGAGGACTTGGTGACCATAGCAGATTATCAGGCAGATATGAGCTCCTAAAGGGATCCTATGACTAATACGATCCTTGGATGTAAAAATGGGAATTGTTGTTTGGGGAATAGGAAGGTTACGTTGTTCATGTATTCAGTGCTGGCGTGATCACTACTGAAAGACTTCAGTTCTGGTGCCAATTCAAGATCCATATTAACAAATTGATGAGGGTTCAGAGAAGAGCTACATGAATGATTTATGGACTTCATGACGAGAGATTCAAAGAGTTCAATCTATTTCATTGATAAAAGGCAGGATTAAGAGATGATTTCATCACAGAGTATATGGCTAAACCTAACTTTGAACCATTTTAAAGGGGGAAGGAGGCTGGCACTTGGAGTGAGCTTCAGTATTACACTGTAACTGCTGTGGCTACATGCTCCTGTAACAGGGCAAGTCAGCTACATCATTTTAGCTTTAATTGTGAATGAAACAGAGTTAAAGAGCCAAGGACCTTGCTACAGTTGTACCATTATAGGAGCATGCAGCTGTAACAGTTGTTTTCTAACAACCTATACCAGTATCATCTGCCATAGTTATGGACAGATGGTACAAATAATATTTTAAATTCCTACAAAGGAACAGAATTTATAGAGGACTCAAGCAAAAGGACTAGAAACAATGTGCAAATATTTAACCATGTGAAGAATTAACAAGGTTTGAAGTGGATTCTCCATCCCTGGAAGTTTTAAATGCTAGATTTGATCTTTTTCAAACAGAAATGCTCTCGTTCAATCACAGCTGCTGGACTTGATGTAGAAACTAATTCAGAGAAGCCCTATGGCCTGTGTTGTGCAGGCGGTCTATTCAGATGGTCCCGGCTTTCCTTAAAATCTGTCTATGAGTTTTGCCTTTTAGAATCTGCATTTGATTTTAAATCCATTTTACAATATCACCTCAATCTCCCTTCTCTAGGATATTGTTTCTAGGGCAGGCCAGCCCAGTGTTTTGTATGCACTGCCTGATCAGTACCCTTGAAAATTAACTAAGCCATGCTCTCTGCCAGGCTGGAGAGCAGGAAGGCGCTCTGCCAGCTGGCTGGGATCCCTTCTGTCATGCTGAACTGGCACATATTGGGCAAAGAGGAGCCATCTGCCTTTTTAACATAGAGAGGCAGCTCATGGTCTCTGCAGGTTGCTCTCCATCTTGAGCCCTGTGCTAGGTAAGACCCTGTGATCTCCGAGCTGCCCCCTGGTCAACAGTGTAAGGAGGGTAGACTTAAGCCCACATGCTTGAGATCCCAGAAGCCCATTCCCTTTCCACGGGGCCCAGCCCTCTGTCACTGATACCGTTTCCATTGTCTCTCCCATCAGGTGGCAGCAGTCTGCTAAGTCGTCGGGTTTGTCAAGCAACTTGCAGCCATCGGGTGCCAAAGCCGATGCTCTCAGGGAAGAGATGGAGGAAGCAGCGAACAGAGTGGAGATTTGCAGGGTACCTCTTGCTCTCTCTTATCTCACAGCAGCACAGCCTGCAAATGCTCTGGTATCTCTCCTTGCGAACAGGGGAAGTTTAGTAGGGGTCAGGATCCTGGGGAATCTGGCACTTAAATGTTCAGACCTTTGCCAGCAAGCAGGGAGTTGACACATGTCAGTGATACCAAGGGATGTGTGCTGCTCCCAGCATCCCTGGTCTCAGGCACCAGCATGAGAAGACGTTTGGCCTCAGTCTCCCTCACTTACTGCTGCCAGGACAAGAAGCTGCCTCAGGGAAAGGAGGCCTGTCTTGTTCATCCACGTGCAGCTCCAGAGCCTATCGTTCACTACTTTGTTCAGCCTGGGGAGATCCCCTCCCACAGCCTGCTCCTGGAGCACCATTAACTTGTTTTCACAGTCTTCAGATACCCACTCCTGACCCCACTCTGCTATCCCTGTATGGCGTGGAGAATCTCCTGCCTGCTCTCACCTCCCTCAGCCTGGGGAGTCGCTCCCTGATCCCTTCCCCTCCTCCGTTTCTTCCCTCCATAGTGCACACAGCCTGGGTATGGGAAGGAGTAGTCTCCTCCTCACATGCAGGCATAGATGCTGGGATGAACTCCAGAGCAGCTTCTGCCCTGGTTGTTAGCAGTACGTCCAGGCTGCTGTAACAGCACAATTCTGAGCTGTAGCAGTGCAACATGTTGCTTTGTCAGAGTCCTCAGAGGTAATCAGTCTTTTTTCTCTTGAGTTTTAGTTGATAAGTCAGTAAAGGCAAATGGAAGTCAAAGACCTGAGAAGAGAAGGTCTTTTTACCCCTCTGCTTCATTCCTATCCTAACTCTCCTGGCAGTGTTTGCAGATAAAAAGCAAACTATTCCTGGTGCCCTCCATCCTTGGGGGTGTGGCAGGAGACGGGTGCAAAATTCAGTGCTAGTGTGAACCCCAATATATTACTGAGGGAGAGGAGGTACAGCCTAGCCCAGTGAGGGCCAACTTTTTTTAGACAAGGTATCACAAATTAGCTCTGCACCTTCCCAGAATGCCACTCCTATCTCCTTCCCCTGCCCAATCTGCTGCTCTGTTTTCTGCTCCCTTCCCTGTGCTCCCTTCCATATGTGCTGCTTTGCTTTCTGCTTCCTGCTCTGTCTGCCACTGTGTTGCATGTTCCCCCCCTGATCTGCCATGTGCCACACATGGAGGCTGCCCTTGCCATTTGTGGCAAACATGACACAGAGGTGGTCACCCGTGGTTTAGAGGCAAAGGCTCAGGAGTGAACATTATTAGATCCAAGGCCCAGTGTCTGCTTTGCACAAACTGAATGCAAGACTGGCTTGACCACTTCCCTGTTCTGTGATTCTATTTCAGTATCTTGAAATTGTGGATAGTGATGCTCAAATGTTGCTTCCCAGCAAGATATGGGGCTTGGTTTGTTATTTTGGAACATTAGGTGTGTTGAAAGGGGAAGCAATGTTGTCCAGGGAATGTAGTGCTGGACAGGGACTCAGAACACCTGCTTTTTGCTCCTGGCTCTGCTAATAGTTGATCCGGGGCTTATCACCTTACCCCCCTGTTTCTTCCCTCAGTCTCTCCATTTCTAAAATGGGGATACTGGTCCCTACCTCATTCCCACACCACTTTGATATGTACTAATGAGCGGTACAAAATAAGAGCTAGGTATCATTTTTCTTGTAAATTGGTTTGTAATCCTTGAACAGAGTAAAGGGTGCTTCAGAAGCTCAGAGGATCAATATATACCTTTTGAGTGTAAGAGTTAAAAATATTAAGTTTAAGAAGCTTTTAACACCCACGCAAGTCAGAGCTTGTGAGCATTTCTCAGAATCTGGCCATTTTATTTCAATGCTGAAATGGAAACCAGGCTGTCTTCATTTTGGTCCTACAAAAGCACATACCAGCTCAGGTGGTGGAAGAGGTGTGACTGTGTATATTCAGTAATTCCAAACTAGCCTAAAGAGCTATTACAACAGAACTGCCATTTGCTACATGCATACTTTTATTTGTATAGGAGAGGTGATCAAAATGTATATATCTTTAAAAAGTACTCATGAGCAGTGTCACCGCTTTCAGTTGTTTACTTAAAAAAGGGGGGATATCTTTCTTTTTTCTGAGGGTCTAAAATGTAAATAGGAAACTCTGAAAGTTGACAGACTTAAGTTGAATAGACATGTGGCTCTGCATGTCAACTTACATTGTAAACTTTTCTTTTTGATCAGTAGTTTTGCTTTAACTGTGCACCCCCTCCCCCCCAAGAATTACATAATAAGTCACTGAAACTGTGTCAATGTGCCCTAGGGTCTGGGAGTAAAGCCTTATAATTAACATAAACTATGAAGAAGTCTTACTGATGAATTCTGTCCACTGGTTTTTGCAATAATGTGCTATATATATAGTGAAAAAGACAAATGGGGGGAGGCAGGGAGAAAAAGGAATTAACTTTTTTTTGATAGTTTAGGCTATATGTAATCCTTCCCTTAGGGAGCATGGAGCATTTGACTGACCAGTTGCAGCTTCTAACAAGCCTGCTTAGTATGAAGTTGTTGTGAGCCATTGGCTAATTATAAGCTCCACATAGGGATTGTCTGTGTGCGTGCATGCATGTATGTGACCGTGAGAGAGAATGAAACCTTGCACAACCAAGTAAAGTATATACTAATTGGTTTGGAATATGTTCAGTATCCAGGGCAAATATAGAAATGATTGCTGCACAGAGAATACAGCTTTCCATCAGAGTCTTTTGTGCATGGATCCATTTTTTCTTTTTCCCCAGAGCTCTTGTGGTGTGGAGTCATTTTACTTTATCCGTATAAAGTTGCTGTTTTGAGATAAATTATGGCTTTTGTCAAAACAGACACCACATGTGTTTTCATACTCTTTGCATGCTTAATGCTGATTTTGCACATGAGAGTTTAGCTTTATTCCAAAGTTTATTTCTTTAAAGCAGGGTTGTAAACAGTCAGTGGCTTTATTCTGGCCCAGCCTATCTGACTGTGTATGTAGTTGTGTTAGAGGTCAGTGACTTACATGAATGTAGGAAGAGGATCAGGATTCATGTTACTTGCATGCTTTCCTGAATTAATATGGTCATAGTCCTAATCTTGCACGCTAACTTATTACCAGGAGTAGCCCCACTGAGATCAATATTTAGGGTAAACACGTGCATAAGTGTTTGCAAAATTGGGATCCCTGAGTGGAATTACTGAATATATGTGAAAACAGTGACTTCTCAATACTTTCCTGTAGTCGAGCAATGCATTTGTCTGTTTGATCTACCTGTCTATGCATTGCACTTTGCATGAGTCAGAGGAGAGCTGCCATTAATCAAGCAAGGGAGTACAAGGGCTGTTCCTGATTATCCCTAATGCATATCAGTAATGGTTTGCTTACATTGTCCATTCTCACATGGCCAGTTTCCACCCCCCTAGCTCATGTCTGCATCTGAATGCATGTGTTATTTTGTTCAGGATTTTTGTGCATCTTTCCTGAAGCCAAAAGGCCACATGGGTCTGGGGGCAAAGCCTTATCATGCTTGTTATGAACATGGTTTGAAATGTGTCATTTGTTGATGCCATGTTTCTAGTTTCTTGCTGGCATAGATATCTAAGAACTTATTAAAAATAGTCTCTGCAATACCTGATATCAACTTGGGCAATGGCCTTCTCCATGTGAGATCTACGGGGCTTCCCTTATAGGGCATGTGTTGGGAAGGACAGCATCTTACAGAGCAACTGAAAGGCACTTGTCCCTTTTCTGTTCTCAAGATATTAGAGGCTTAGAGGCCAAGATAGCAGGGTTTGTATTGGTTGACATTCTGTGTGAGAAGTAAAAATAATAAAAATAACAAATCTTTTGCTCAGAGTTAGGCAGAGTTTGAGCAGATGCTCTTCAAGATTCCCACCCACAGCTCTGCCAATGTATCTTTATCCTGCTGTTCCAGGCCTGGTTCCCCTGGCCACACCAGTATGCATTATCCTTGACCTACAGCCCTCGCCTCACTCCACCTGATGTCTTGGGCTTCTGCCAAAGCACTGCCACCAGCACCCAAGCAGAGACTGACTCTTGTGCTGACTTACCCCACTTCGTAACGTGGACAGAAGGAAAGACAATTCCACATCAGCCCTTTCTAAAGAACCCTCAGATTCCATTTGCAACCCACAGTCAGTACAGAGTTTAATCCACGTATCCAGGGATGAATGGTTCTCCATTCTGTCATCTACAAGAGACTCTGAAATTCATTCTTTTATAAGGAATTCCAGTAAAATACCATATAACTAACCCATCCTTTTCCCTTTGTAAGGTTACCTATCCTTTCCTGAGAGAAACCTCCCTACAAGTCAAAATTGGATTTTTTCTCAAAAGAAGGCTGTTTCTAGCTCCATCTTCTCCACCTCCTATTTATACTTCCATTACCCTTCTGTCTGCACATCCATCTTCACCATGACTTTCGCCATCATTATGTCCATCTCAGTCTCTGCGTTCATCTCTTGTCTCCCCATCCTGCCTCTATGCCCGTGATTCTCAACCAGGGTGCTGGGGTACCCTGGGGTGCTGCGAGAGCCTTTGAAGGGTGCTGCAGGAAGTGTGAGGAGATAAGCAGATAAAGGCAGGCTCAGGCTTCAGGTAGGAGAAAATAAGCAGATAAGGGCAGGCTCGGGCGCTCCCTGCCTGGCTGCCCCCCTACCCTTATTGTGTGTTTCCTCTGCAAGGAGGTAAGCTCTGTAATACATAAATTAATTTTTAAAATGGGATGCCACTTAATTCACAGAAGGTATGGAGTGCTTTGAGTAATGGGGTGCCTTGAGTCTGAAGAGGTTGAGCACCACTGCTCTATACCTTAATGCTCCATCATGCTCTCTGGTTCCATCTGTCTCCATCTCTGTGTCCCGCAAACATTCACTTCCACTTTCTGTTTGTTTCTTTAGGTGGACAAAGCTTAAAGCATGGAGGCATGGTCAGAATACCTGTTGCCTAGATCATTTGGTTAATATTCACATATTATTTTCTCCATTAAAAAAAAAATCACATTTAACCATAGCAAAGCAATAAAAGTGTTCTTTATGGCATTTTTTCACACGTTTTATATTTACAAGGTAGAATTGTTTGAAAATTATAAAAATGTGACAATAAGACAATCAAACTGCTTTCTTCCTCTTCCAAGGCCAACAAGGGCCACATACAGGGCACCACTGACCATCCTAAGATTGCCAATTGGAGAGGCTCAGATGCTGAGCTGTTGAAGGTATATTTCTGATGGTAGCATTAGCTCCTTCATGGGGGTGGGTCTACATTTCTATGGGATACAGGTTCTACCTATTGCTGACCTTTGGGGGGGTTGGGGTTGGTCTTTGATCATTTTAAACTTGGGGAGATGGGAATATACTCCCAGAAATGAGGTGAAAGTAGACCAGTAACTATTGTACATGCTTCCCAGAAGTGCAGGCCTGTCAATTATAGCCCAATCTGGACCTGCAACCCTATCACCCACTTCTGCTATTCCCATACTCCTGGCTTTCTCATGAGCAGAGGCTCACAGCTGTTATAAATTTTGGATGTAATCAGGGATATGACCCCCAGTAAGACAAACCACTTTTACTTGTGCCTCCACAAGGACTTGAACACAGACCTCCATAGACGAAGGGGCAAGTTTCCCAAACAGCTATGCTGTCTAACCCTGCTTTCCTTCCTTTCCATGCAGTGAAATTGCTGGATCTCTTTTTGTCATTTCTCTAGAGAAAAGCCTCTAATAAATTGATTTTGAAATCCCCATTAAAAGTGACACTGAAGGATGGTTTTTATCTAAGCTACATCTTTAATAGAGTTGGCACCTAACTAGGACCTACAAAGCTCTTTACACGCTGGCATGTGCCAGATAGGCAGTTGTGTATATAGATAGATACATGCACATCCAGATGTAGGTCTTACACATGCAGTCATAATGTAGTGGGGGGCTGCATAATACACATAGGCTTTTGTGTAGACTTACCATGTGACCTCAGAGCAGGGCAAGATTAGCAGTGAAATGGGTACTGAGGACTGTGTAGGTGACATGCAGATGCTAATGTGCTCTTTTAGAATTATCAACAGTTGATTGATCAGGAAGAAGGCTACCAGGTATTTCAGATGACATTAGATGGGTCAGTCCTGCATCGGTCTCAAGTGTGCCACTGGGCCAAATTCTGACCAGTGTACCTGCCATGGAATTCAGTGGGATTGTCCCCAGTTGCAGCACGTCTGAGCCTGGGCCACCATGTCTTTTACCATAAAAAAACAACCTTCTTTCAGAAACCAAAAGGGGGGGGGCAGGGAATTACCAACTTACCAGCACCTCAGATCTCTGAATTGCTGTTCAAGGCAAAATTCTCATCTTCAGTAGGCAGCATGAGCAGGATTCTCAGACCAGGGTGCTGCAAGATCCTTGGGTCTCCTGGTGTGTTTGGAATTATCATTGAAGCAAAATGGTGAGGTTTAGATCTGACTTGTGGGTCTAACAGGGAGCATCTTGCCCTGGAAAAGGTATTTTTGTTTCAGTTCTCCAAATCCTGGAGCCTCCCCTTCTCAGCCTCATACCAGTAACAAAAGCTAAATCACAAAGATTCACTGAAGTCAGATCTTTGGTTTGTTTGGTTTTTTTGCCCCACCTTTCTTTTAGTGCCCCCATTACCAGCAGTCAGGATCAAATACAGCAAAAGGTTTGTATTGTTCCCAGGTGACCTTTCAAAATGGGACGTGATCTCAGTAGTGTGTACAAGCACCTCTGATCATGCGTTAACCATTCTGCCTGGAAATAATGATGTCTAATGATGAGAGTGGCTGTTTTGTGCGACTTACCTCTTGCTCATTTTGTGCTCTCCACAGGACCAGCTCTCAGCTGACATGTACAATTTTGTGGCCAAAGAAATAGACTATGCAAACTACTTTGAAACTGTAAGTCCAAAGCAGGCATATATGCCTTTCTTTGTTTATATTGTTTCCTTTTGCATGGTGCCCTATTAGAATAATAATCAATTCCTAGCTGGGATGCTCCCTCCTATCACTTCTACCACTACCAAAAATCCTACCCATTTCCACAGTAGGATGTAATATGTCTTTTGTCTTTTCCCCAGTTAATAGAAGTGCAAGCAGAATACCATAGGAAGTCATTAGCACTTTTACAGAACGTGTTGCCTCAGATAAAAGCACAGCAGGGTGAGTGTACAGCGTTCTTCTTTCTTTGCTGCATGCTGAGTTAAGGGGGAGGATCAGAGTTTTGTTGCCAGGTGACTAGGGCAAAAGTCATGATGATGCAGTCCCCTTGTTCTGCATTACATTATCATCCATGGGGTGGTGAGAACGTTCCCATTCCTCTGAAGCATCAGGTCTTGTTCACCACTGCAGGCAGGATCGGAGTATAACAGGACAGGGGTTCCAGCGTACTGCTGGAGAATGGGCCTCCACTTAGTAGGAAAGCCACCATTTTATATGTTGGGATTTGGCTGCCACAGTCAGGATCAGTTTTCCTCACCATCGTGCTCAAAACAGGTTAACTGGGCAGTAAGTTCCCTACCGTGTTCCCAAATTACTGGTTTCATTCACACACGAATCCCTCCCAAACCTCCTGCCCTGAGATGGCTGTCTTTACCGTGAACCATCAAAACCTATTCACCTTCTGTTCTTTCACTGTGCCCAAGTCAATCAACTGCACCCCAGCAAAGAGTCAGCCACCATCCCCTAGCTACAACTGACCCCTCTCCCACTATAGTAAATCAGTCCTGCATGCTGTCTCGTTCCAGCAACTCAGTTTCTTTTTCCCCCCAGAAAAAAAAATTACATTGCTCTGTTTCTCCTTCCCGTGAGATCGATTTCCCAGACACATTCAAATGAGCCTTCCCCACTGGAACTTAGTTTTCTCTCGCACGCAGAGCTGTGTGACTAGAGCTGCCAGGAAACGTCCATCCTTAAGTGCTAACGCACATTATATATAGGGTGCGCCGTGCATTAGGCCAGTGCGAAGCGGCTAGTGTTTGCTTCGGATTCAGCCAGTCTGGGGGACAGTGATTCGATTTGGTGATTTGAATCACTGTCCCAAATTGATTTGGCCGAATCTCTGAATCAGCCAGGCCCATCCCCTGCCCACTCTCCCAGCCTGGCAATGGCTGCCCTGTCCACCCCAGCTCCCAGCACTTGGGAAAAAAAACAAGCCCCAACTCAGCAGGTGCTGCCGGGCGGGGGGTGATCCCCCTGCCCCATGCTGCATGGGGGGCTCTGCACAAGCCCCCCAATGCTCCCCCCCACTGTCCTAGTCCCCCATGGCTGCTCCGCCTACCCCAGCTCCAGCCCTTTAAGGAAAAAAAAAGCCCGAAACATCCTTTACTCACCGGTTCCTGCCTCGTGTAGGGGCAGTCTCTGCTGCCCTGCACTGCGTGGGGGGCTGTGCATGAGCCTCCCGAAGCCCTGAGGCTGCTGCAGGAGCTGGTGATCCTGTGGGATTTTTTTTTTCTTAAAGGGCCAGACCCGGGGTGGGCAGGGCAGCCATGGGGGTGGTGTCAGGGGGTCTGGGGGAGCAGGCAGGGGATGGGGCCTGGCAGGGGTCCCCTGACTTACCAGCTCCGAGTCCAGCTGCAGCTCCCTGCTGCAGCAGGTGGGGACTGCCCGAATCATCGAAGCTCTCCAAATCTTTTCTGAAGATTCGGAGAGCTTTGAATCGATTCGGACCATTTTATTGGTCCCCTGATTTGATTTGGATTTGGAGATTTGGCCACCAAATCAGGCCAAATCTCCTCCAAACCGAATCACCACGTGAAGCTTAGTCCAACTTAGTCTAGGCCTAGCCTAGGCCTTCTCCTGTTTGCAAATCCCCCTGAGGTCCTGCTCCTTCATGCTGCTTGGATTACCCCAGTTTGTCTCCACCTTTTGTT